GCGTTAGCCTGGACGGGCTGGTGTTAGCATTGGAGAGGCTTGCCACTAGCTGGATTTCCTACCTCCTCGACGGACCATTAGCATGGATAGGCTGGCGTTAGCATCGGAGAGGCTAGCCATAAGCGTGCCTAGGCTGGCCACTAGCTGGATTTCCTACCTCCTCGACAGACCATTAGCATTGATAGGTTGGCATTAGCATCGGAGAGGCTAGCCATTAGCATGTCTCGGGCAGTAGTCTTAATTTTGGCCCCCATACCGCGCCATACTGCAGGGGCTGATGAGCTGCTGCACGAGTGATTCCTGACTGGGACCTGACTGGGACCAGGAAACAGGACCACATCAGTCCGGTTCTGGCCTCCCTGCACTGGCTTCCGGTTTGCTATCGCTCACAATTCAAAATCCTCATCTTTGTTTATCATTTCTTCCAGGGCGGTGGTCCCCCCTATCTAGCCACACTCCTGAACAGACATTCCCCATCACACGCTCTGCACTCCTCTGACCAAGGCCTGCTCGCTGTCCCTCGTTCTAGGTGTCGTACTCGCGGGGACCAGGCTTTCTCAGTCCTAGCACCAACACTCTGGAACCAGTTGCCACCCTAAGTTAGGCTGTCCCCATCTCTGCCAGTCTTTAAGAGTCGCCTAAAAACACACCTCCTCCGCTTGGCGTTTCCTGAACATGTTTGAATTTGGCCCTCTTTTATGTTGAATTTACTTCTCAGTTTTCATTGGTTCACTCTATCCATTGTTTTACACATTTGTCCTGTACCAGAATGTTTCACCTATTTTGTAATTTGTATTTTGTAATTTGAATTGCTTTTATTTTTGATTTATTCAATATATTTACCTTCAACTGAACCATGTTCAGCGCTTGTGGCTTCCTGACAGGGTTGCGGAAGGTGCTTTATAAATAAAGCTTTGGTTGATTGATTGATTGATTGATTGATTGATTGATTGATTGATTGATTGATTGATTGATTGATTGATTGATTGATCGATTGATTGGTCGATTGATTGATTGATTGATTGATTGATTGATTGATTGATTGATTGATTGATTGATTGATTGATTGGTTGGTTGGTTGATTGGTTGATTGGTTGATTCGACCACTGAATCAAGTGCGCTGTAGCAGAGAAACCACTAAAACATGTTGAATACCGGCCCTCCAGGCCCAGAATTGAATACCCCTGCTGTAAAGGGTCATTTTAGCACATACTGGCTCAAGAAAATTATCTAAAATTTGAAAAAAGTTGCATAGTAAGCCTTTAATAAATGAATCATAATTTCTTGATGGCAGCATTCAAAGGTCGCCCCCTCGTCCTCATCCCCCCTATTCATTTCTTTCTGAGTTATGCACTCCACAGATGCCAGGAGCTCCGACAAACACTGCACAAGCATAGCGGATAACCTCTCACAACCCAAGCACAGATGCTGGGCTGCAGCCTCAGCTGCCACCGAGGCCTCAGCATGAGGTTTAACCCTGCCAGGAGAGGACTCTGACTTAGGAGAAACTGCAACCCAGTCTGCAACCCAGTCTGCCTGATGACAAGGAGAAAGCAACTGTCTGTCTCTCAAGGAGCACAATAATGATAACTGTCTAGTTTTAACCACCTCCAAGCTGGAGAAACAAGCTCCAAGTAAAACCCTGATGCCACATTGGGACTTCTCCCGTCTGAGATGAGAAACTGGCAGCTGCGATATCGGACCACGAGCCTCTGAGCTCCTTTTCATCTGACCCATAAAACTTTGAAGGCTTCTCTAGACTGTTGCAAAGTTCTAATCTTGACTTTGCTTCATCAAACAACAAAAATCTTGATGACAAGTGTGACGTATCCTTCATTACAGAAGCTTTACAGGTTAAGTTGTTGAATTGTTTCATCATTAGAAAAGTTTTTGTGCAACATTGTCTAAAGTTTTCTTTTACTGAAGCATGAAGCTGTTTATGTATCATCTTTGCATTAATCACACAACTAAAGTCAATTTTTGTAGAAAATGAATTAACAGATTTAATCTGATTTTAAGATGGACTTGAAGAAGATAAATAGTATCTTGGATGTCTATCGCATTTGTGTCATTATTTATAAGTGCATCTCAGAATAAAGAGTTAGAAAACCCTTTCTGTAGCACTAACTTGAAGGAATCATGTGCTGGATCACTTTTTATGTACCATGCTGTTGATACATTTTGACCCACTTTTCAAAAGTGCTTCAGTTCATTAGGTTTCCAATATTAAGACCTCTTAATGTAGTGATTAAGAATGTTAAACCCCAACTGCTTTTTTTTTCCTTTTTCTGAATTGTATAGACATAACACTGGCTTTGCTTGAATCTAATTTCCTTTTTGTGGATGATTTGAGGCTTAAAGGTGCAGTGTGTAAGAATTACAGTGGAATAATCCAAAAACTGTCTAATGTCTCAATCATGTTGAAAGGAAGGTTCTACTGAAACATAGTTGATTCTCAGCTGGTTTGGGGGGATTGTCAGTTTTTCTCTTTTCAAAATAAGGGAAGGAGGGACATAGCTGATGTTTACCATCAGTGAGTGTGAGGTAGCCGTGTTTCCTGCAAGCTAACGTTGCAGCACCGGCCAGCAAAAAGCTCCAGAGTTGTTTAAAGAACAAAAGACAGTTACAAGGTATTGATCTAATATTGAGTGACTGGAGTTGCAGCTGCAAGGTCATTGGTGTCTGTTGTTGCCACAATCCCCGAACCAGCTGGAGGGCACTGGCGGTTAGGGATGCTGTCAAGCTGAAGAAAAACTCCTATTGGTTATTTTTGGCCTGTGGGACTCCAGAGGCAGCTGATGGGTACTAACAGTGCAAGCGGAATACGACTTGAGTGGTTGCAGAAGCAAATGGTAAATGGCCTGTATTTGAAATAGCGCCTTCAAGAGTTCTGGAACCCTCCAAGGTGCTTTACAACACACAGTCATTCACCCATTCACACACATGTTCACACGCTGGCAAAAACACAGGTGTGAAAGGAGTTCAGTGAGATCATGGAGCAAGACTTCCATATGGCTTTGAAGAGATTCCGGTCCACCATACAGCGCCTCAGGAGGGGAAAGCAGCCAAACAACGCTGTTTATACTGGGATGGGGGCTACTAACCTATACTCGGGCTGTCATGGATTGGTGGATAGAGTACTTCGAAGACTTTCTCAAACCCACCGGCATGTCTTCCAGTGAGGAAGCAGAGTCCATAAACTTTAGTTTGGGCTCTCCTGCATCACGGCAGTGAAGTGCGCCCTTGGCGCATTTGGAAAGAATGCATCCTCTTCTGCTAATAGGAGGGGTAGCGCTGATGGGGACTGTGGATAGCTGGTGTCTACTAGAAGATGGACAGGTAATTTTTTCAGACATCTCTGCGATTTCTGCTGATGAGTGCAAAAACTACCCATACTCTCTGTACCCTATAGAAAAAAGTCTTGGTACGCTTGAGACAAACTGCATACCGGCACGTACCAGCCCACCTAAAGCACTGATTTTTACACATAGCACCTTTAAGAAACTGCAAAAAACATTTATTTGAAAATGGTTACTGCAAAATAACATCTTCAAAGGACTGATGAAAGCCTGATGAGTCGTTGCTCAAGATTCAAGGATTACATCAACTTTTGTGGCATTAGAAGCAAAATATAAATAAATCAATAATGATTCCAGACTTGCTACGTGGTCTCTTGTCCTCAAGTTTAACCATGGTGATGTCCCCCCACTGTAAACCCCATCCCTGTTCCAAACATCCAAAGAATGTAAAACTACAAAACACATGAAAAACATGGAAAATTAGGAGATATGAGGAATCTACATCCCACGGCATTTCTCTTTTCATGTGTGAAAGCAGAGACGGGTATGTCCCCTCTAAAGGCTGGTCTCCTGTGTCTCCAGTCATGCATGTGTGCTGTATGATTATGAACACACACATCTGGATGGACTTAGTGAAGAAATCCTATGAAGAACTTAATGGGCTCTTCAAACATTTTGGAAGACTGATTAAGAGCTGTTGCAGATCCAGTTCACATCAATAGGTTCCATGTGGGATTTATTTTGGTTCCCACTGTTATTGTTATCAATTTCACGTGCTGCTTTTCACTGTTTTTGTGGAGGATTTGGAGGATTTAGTGGGACCTTAATGCGTTGAAATTAATGTGCAACACGGCTGAATATTTGCTTGAGGGGAAGGTCAAACTCTTGGGTAAGCAATGAAGGTCCAGATTCATTCACAATCTATGGAGCATTTTGTATAGGAATACCACTTCTTTATAACTTTAAACTTTGTGGAAAAGTATACCTGCAACATTTTTGCAATAATGTGATCGTTTTATTTTATTTTTTTTGCTCGTCTTCTTCAGGTGAAAACAGCTATTATTAGTCATCACATTGGGCAAATTTACACCACCATATACAGCCTTGTAAGGTAGTTGATATTGTGACCCGGTGCTTAAAAAGAAAGACAAATACCACAAAATACATATGGTAGTAATTAGGCCTCCTTAGCCATAAAGTCAACACCTGCCACTTCAAACCTTTCTTCCAGAAACAGAGTGGAGATATTACCACTGAAATCAGCTACACTATTGTTCAGTTCAGTCTAAATTAATCAGACATTTTTCAGTCTTTCTTTTAATTCGGTGGTTATTTTACTGCTTGACACAGGGTTTTCTTTCGGTCTGTCTGAAACCATCTGCAACAATGACCACCAACACGCCGCTAGATGTCATCAAAGTCCACACATGGAAAATGTTTGATGCCTTTAGTAGCTTTCGGAAATTTTACCTTCAGTTAATTTACTAACATAACTTATATGTAGATTTCTTAGAAATGTTGGAACTTCAATTTTACAAATTGCTTAATCAGTTATTGATGCTATGAAAGAACTACATTGAATATTTTTTGGTAGTTATGACAATGCAGTTACACAAAACACCCAATCCGGATAGGACTCTATGATAAATTCAGAGATGATAAATCTAGGTTTTTCGACGGCAATTGAAAGCACCTCAGATCCGGATATGACGACATAACAATGACAGGAACACAACTTTAGCTTTAGCTGTAGCACAACAACCAGCTCGGTATCCAAGAAAGACACATTATTCAGCATATCGCCGATTTTTAAAGCTGATATGAAGCTTAAGCGGAATTAAATTACTTAAGTTAAGCTCCTAAACTTCGTTCTTCTCCGCATTTGGGTAAATAAACAGTTTTTAAGGATACGGCTAAAACGAAACAGTTCTATTCACCGCTGTTTACAAAAACCGAATTATTTTTTCACTTTATTTTTTGTTATTTGTAATTTACTGTTACTCTTAACAAAAATGCAGCGCTACTTTTAACGCAGCATGGTTGTTGAATTTGTAATGAAGACGAAATGTTATTCAATAGACTACCAGTAGGGATGAACAACAATAATGAAACATTTACATCTGTTTTTGTTTTCTTTTGTACTTTTGCTGTCTTGGTCTGTAGGAATGGTTTGACAGAACCAGGAAACATGCACAGTCGTTTGCAGGAGCTGAAAAAAGAAGAGGAGACTCTCCTCAAAATCAAAGTGATGTTACAAGACCAACTCAACCGCTTGAAGGTGCTTTCATGATTCAATCAATCAATCAAACTTCATAAAGCGCTTTTCATACAAAAAATGTAACTCAAAGTGCATTACAAATTAAAAAGACCCCACATATCTCACAAATGTCATTGACAGTTAACACCCTCCCTCCCCACCCCAGTGAGACGCACACACACACATGCACACAACACACTTGAGAGCATAAGCAAACATTGGGCTGAGCTCAAATGAGTCAGGTACCTAAGAAAATGCCATCAGGGAAGCCGCCTTCCCCAACAGTAGCAGATCCATGGCATCAGCCAGGGCAAAACACAAGGCGCCCAGAGGAAGGAGGGAGGGTGAGGGCCCCCACCTGTACCCAAGCACCACCTGGAGAGCACCCAGGCTGCTGCCGCCAGCCATCAGTCCTGAGGCAGAGGGCTCCCGCAGAGGAAACACTGTAAAGTATTCGAATAAGTAAAAGAATAGGATTACAAGAGGTAATATAAAGATAAATAAATAGTGATCAATATAATTGTAAAAATAGTAAAGCAATATAAAAACAGATATATAACAATACTGTTGTAAAATATAAGCAAGTAAATCATAGTAAATCAATTCAAAGCTAAGCTAAAAAGGTGAGTCAACAATGCTCATATTTTACAACAAACTTGAGCTTCTTACAGTCATCATTCTGTATTTCAGTTTGAAGAAGGAGCCTTGAAGTCAATAATAAATGCTCAGACGGAAGAAGGAGCCTCCCAGCGCTTAAGCCCGGAACCCGAGGTAGATTACAAACTTCAGATCTCACTGTTTCACTCATACTGACTACATAAAGACTCATGGTGCATTCATCAAGTCAAGGTTTATTAGGCAAATGTGTTTTAACTTTTCGTTTAGGTCAAAACGGTTGAATGATAGTACTCGTTTGTTAATGAAGCTGAAATAGGTATATAATTTGAGCTCTGGATACAGTAATTTAACTACCAATAATTTATTTGTTGGATTTGCTTTGGAAAGTGTAAGTAATTTTATTTTTCGGTTAATTTCGTCTCTTCTCTTCTACACTGTTTCCCACTGCTTACATTGTCTATGTATATACAAGATGCAAATTGATCAGTTTTATGTCAAATAAAAAAAAACATTTCCAAACATTAGCAATAAACAGACAATGGCTCACTGAGAGTCTCTCCCGCTGAGTTTAGCTGTTTTCCATGTAATACTTTCTGCTCTTTAACCTCCAGAGACCCTGTTTCCTTACATGAGAAGTTATTGTTATGGTAGATTCGATTTTTTGAAACTTCTAATTATTCCAAAGCGGTGTCCATTTTTTACATTTAAGAAGTCCCACTAATCCCAGAAAGCAATGTGAAAATAAAAATGGGCATCAAGCTAAAGCTTGTGTCTCAGGAGGTTAATAATACGCGATGACTTTACTTATCATTAACATGATTCTATTCCAATTATTCCAGGTTAACATTAATCCTGACGATGAGAGCGAGATCAATCGAACCAAGCTGCTGTTGAATTCTGCTGCAGACATTGACATGGAGGAAGAAGAGGAGGAGGATGAAGAAGAAGATGATGATGAAAATGAATATGATGAAGATGACCATGAGCTTGAGTTTGATCCTGAGGAGGATGAGGATGATTATTGAGAACTATAAGATGTATTAGCACCAGTGAAGGAGAATACAAACTCTGTTTGAAGTTTATTTGTAATTTGAATTAGAATAGATTTAATTTATTTGAAAGGAGTAAGAATTAGAGTGCAACAGTGTGTGGATTTAGTACATATCATGCTATTTCACTGTGTTAGTCTTGTGTGAAACATCACACTGGAATGCAGTATTACTAGGTGCTTTTTCTGTAGCTCCTTCCACATTTAGTCCATTATGAAAGACAAAAGAAAATAATATTTTACTTGTGAGTTAGAAAGCCAGTGTTGAAGCTGTCTAATGGAAATGTATGGCTGGGCCATAAAAGAACTTATGAAAGCAATGGGAATGGAAAGCACACAATAAATGTTTTGCATTAGCTGCTGTTGACTGATTACTCCAGTGTATCGTTTTAATTTTAAAGCTAGCAGGTTTCTCAGAACACAATCAGGGCTTCTGATTTCTTTATTCAATATTAAATTGAAGTATTGTTATTAATTCACCTCACCTGACCTAAGCCAATGAGTAATGCAGTGCAAATGTTCCATTAAATAAAAAAAGAGTGCCACATCAGGGGCGAGGAACATTAATCATTAGATATTTCTAGATTCTTTTCCTTCTGCTGGTCCAGGAGACGTCTGTTTCCCCATAGATACAGGCTTAGCTTGAGGGACTGCAACAGATGCATTTGGCATAAGGTTTGCAGGTAACTAAAGAGAGCAAATATTTACACACACACACACGCACATATATATATATAATTTTTCTTTAGGCCAAACATGAGACTGGGCTGTTTGTTTTTGCTGTATATCAACCTGTTACTTAGGGTTACCATATCTTAAGTCACATTAAGCATAAATTAGCATTTAATTTTCTATTACTACCAGATGAGAAAGATGACTTATTTTCATTTCTGTTCATTCATGTGGAAGGCTTCACTGTAAACGTATCAACCTTCCTAACATTAGCTTTGCTTACAGCAGTGAAACCACCATTTGTATAGGATCTGTTTGCCTCAGCAACATGAGCTTACACCCCATTGACTCTGAAAAGAGGCATTTGGCTTTGCATTAGGGATGTGAGACCCCCCATAGTCTATCACTCTGGATGCTTCGAGACTGCTTGATGACAGTTTGTTGCCACTGAGAGGTTTTTCCTCTGTTATTTAAATGCATCTTTGTGTTTTGCTACATCTTGATATTGTGAGTAAGTATGGGTACTGAGTGATTCTTGTCTCTTTTCAGACATCAGTGAGCAGATCAGGACAGAAGTGGTGTTGCAGGCTCAGGAGTATGATGCTGCCCCGCTGTGCAGTCAGTGTGTGCCATGTGCTTGTGTTGGTGCTGTGTCTGTCTGCGGCTGAGGACTTCGACTGGACAAAGAACAACTACGGCTCCTTCTATTATGGCACTTTTCCAGCTGGTACTTTCTTCTTATCGTCTTTTAGAGATTTAAATATTTTAATCATATGTAACTAAAAAGAAAACCTATTAAAACAATAGTTTAGAACTTTTGAGAAAGGGTGACGTGAAAAAGGTATGAAGACTTAGTTGTTGCAGAGCTTTTTGAACAGCCTTAGATTAAAGAAACAGTTCAGTCCAACTGGACACCGTGTGTGTGTGTGTGTGTGTGTGTGTGTGTGTGTGTGTGTGTGTGTGTGTGTGTGTGTGTGTGTGTGTGTGTGTGTGTGTGTGTGTGTGTGTGTGTGTGTGGTGTGTGTAGCCATCCTTGCGCTGACAAAAATGTAACTAACTTTTACTTTGAGTACATTATATTTACTATGCTTTTTACTTGAGTAAAAATTTAGGCAAGTACTTTTACTTGTACTTGAGTAAAAAATGATCAAAGTATTTGTACTCGTACGTAAGTAGGAAATATTTGTACTCTTTCCACCTCCGTGTAGAGGTTTATAAAATAGCGTTCACAATAAACTTTGACATTTTGGGGGGAGCAGCAGTCTACTTTAGTCTTAGTCCTACTGTGAAAGCGTTACCACTGATCTTTCTCCAAACAGAAGTTGTTCAAAGTTTCTATCTACAGCAGATAAGATCAAATTAGTTAGATAATGTTCTAGTCACTCATCACCTTTCCATAGAACTTCACTTCAAAAGACCTAAACGATTCTGTGAGGAGCTAACAGAGCTGATTGTTGGGTTCCTTAGGATTTTCGTGGGGTGCCGGAGGTTCAGCCTATCAGACAGAAGGAGCATGGGACCAAGATGGAAAAGGACTGAGTATCTGGGATGTGTTCAGTCACAGAAAGGGCAAAATCCAGCAGAATGAGACGGGGGATTCTTCGTGTGAAGGCTACTACAAATTTAAGGTTTGATGTCTGAAAGAGCAATGCTCAGAAGCAGACGATGAGCAGATAAATCTAAATATTTCACTCTGCTCAATGCATTTTATCTTCAGGATGATGTTTCTCTAATGAAGGAGCTGAAGCTTAATCACTATCGTTTTTCCATCTCCTGGCCCAGGATCATACCGACTGGCATCAAGTGTGAGTGGCTGCTGTAAAAATCTGATCCATCCCACTTTACTTCTAAGGTTTAAACACGCCAATAAAACCGTTTTGCAGCTGACCATGTAAATGAAAAGGGAATACAGTACTACGATGAGCTGATCGACACCTTAATGGAGAATAAAATCACTCCCATCGTGACCCTGTATCACTGGGATCTTCCTCAGGTTGGTACTAATATTAACCGACCATCCCTAAGTTTAACCTTGATGATTTAGACCATAACTTCTGGAAATCTTTACTTTTTTATTAGGTTTTACAGGAGAAATATGGTGGATGGCAGAACATAAGTATGATCAGTCATTTTAATGAGTTCGCCAACCTTTGTTTTGAGAAATTTGGTAACCGAGTGAAGTACTGGATTACTTTTAACAATCCATGGGTATGTTTGCCAGAAGCATTCACTTGTTTTTACACATAGCTAACAATGGACACTTTTGTGGACTTTATGAGGGATTTTGCACATCTTAAATCCAAAATGTCTCCTCTTTAATGCAGTCTGTAGTGGTTGAGGGCTATGAGACAGGCGAGCATGCTCCTGGGCTGAGGCTGAAAGGAGCAGGGGCTTATAGAGCTGCACATCACATAATAAAGGTAGAAGACTACACATATGTATAACTATCAAAACCTAACAGAAAAAGTAGTCTTGTGGAGTAAACTGAATGTTTTCCATACAGGCCCACGCTAAAGTTTGGCACACTTATGATACTCAGTGGAGAGGAAGGCAAAAAGGTTTGGAAATAAATGCAAATAGTTTTACATTTAGTCTGCAGAGTGGATTTAAAAGCTGCACTGCTGGTCTGCAGGTTTCATTGGCATCTCTCTGTCGGGGGACTGGGGTGAGCCGGTGGACATCAGCAATCAGAAGGACATCGAAGCAGCTGAGAGATACGTCCAGTTCAACCTGGGCTGGTTTGCCACACCAATCTTCCACGGAGATTACCCCCAAGTGATGAAGGACTTTGTTGGTGAGTTTCATTTTGGATTAAAATGAATTACCAGGCCCTCAATGCTGCCTGATGCTTTGGATGACTGCTTTGAGTCATCAGATTCCTCTCTCAGTACCCAGTTTATCGTCCCACAAGGGGAAGGACCTGTTTAGTGCAACGTAAAGAGGATGATGCAGAGGATAAACTCAAAAAATCAGCTGGACCAGAAAAATTTTCAGAACTGGTTCCAACTATGGTTCCTGTCAGCTTGGATTGTCCCAGTGCAAAAAAAACATTCAGTTGCAAAAGACAGGACTATTGTCCAATTGTTGCGAAATTCCTGTAACGACTGGGTCTGACCCACAGCAAAGACTTTCTTATATCTTTGACCCACAGCAGAAAGCTTCCAGCCTACACTCAGTTTCCTGGTGTCCCAATGTCAAACTGCACATTTTGGATGTTTCTATTCTATTGCTATGACTAAAACCGTCAATGGGCAGCTGGGTTTTTTACTTCCGGATCTGTGAAGATTCATGGCATCTTCTCTTCCACCGACTCTCCACAGGGATGTACCCCGAGCCCCCTTCTGTTTTCACTATTTTCCTAGCAGTCAGAAATTTGCAGATAGTTCCATTCTCCCATTTCTGACATAATTTGAAAGATGATAAAGTTATCTATGTCTGAATTCATTAACCCACTATTGTACCCGTGTACAGGAAGCAAGAGTGTGCAGCAGGGCCTGGGGACATCTCGGCTGCCCACCTTTTCGCCACAGGAGAAGAGCTACATCAAAGGGACCTGCGACTTCCTGGGCATTGGTCATTTCACCACTCGTTACATCACCCATAAGAACAACCCATCGGGCCGCAGTGGCAGTAGCTACTTCGCTGACCGTGACCTTGCTGAGCTGGTTGATCCGCGTTGGCCTGATCCTGGATCAGAGTGGCTCTACTCCGTACCCTGGGGTTTCAGACGCCTGCTGAATTTTGTCAAGGTGACTCGCTGTTGCACTGAGCAGACACGTTCCTGAGATAGACCAGCTCTAGTTAATGTGCATCACTCTTTTCCTCCTTCAGACTCAGTATGGAAACCCAATGATTTACGTGACCGAGAACGGAGTCTCTGAGAAGATGTTGTGCACGGAGCTCTGTGATGAGTGGAGGATACAGTATTTTCAAGACTACATCAATGAAATGCTAAAAGGTGAAAGAGCCAACAAATAATAAATAACAGCAATAATGAGAAGCATTTAACCATGTTCCTCTCTGTGTCTCTCAGCCATCAGAGATGGAGTGAATGTGAAGGGATACACTGCATGGTCTCTGCTGGACAAGTTTGAGTGGGATGAAGGGTACTCGGAAAGGTTCGGCTTGTACTACGTGGACTTCAGGAGTAAAAACAAGCCTCGTTACCCCAAAGCTTCTGTTCAGTTTTACAAGCGCATCATCAGCTCAAATGGATTTCCAAATCAGAGGGAGGTGGGCAATCCCGTCTGACTGAACATGCACACCTCCCAGGTTTCTGGGTGTTTCTGATTGATTTGTAAATGTGCACAGGTTGAAAACTGGAGGAGAAAGTCTGTGGAGACCTGCTCTTCCAGCAACCAGCTGCTAGCTGCAGGTTAGTTTATCATTATCCCGTCTGATGAGGGTTGTCAGTTACTAAAGGTAAACAACTAGCTGGGGTAAACAAATTAAGATTCTGGCCCAAATATAAAAACAATTATTACAACAATTATAATTGGACTAAAATGTGTGTTTATGTTGCTTAAACCCTTCAGAGCACATTTTAACTAATTATCAGTGACAAGACTGATGGAAATTCTAAACCTGCAGAATATCTGAGATATCTTCTTTGTTTGCCCCTCCAGCTAGAAGAGAATCCAAGGAACATGCAGAGATGCCAAAGGTTTGGCCTTTGCATGATGAAGTCTAGAACTTCAGGGTACATGCATGACATGAGTGCCATTGGTTTTTATTTTTGTTTGTTTTTGATTGTGTCGTCAGAAATCTGAATAACAGACTGACGTTTTTGCAACTAAACACCAATTGCCATGGTTTTTCTCACATGCACGCTGAGATCTGATCGAGTATGTATTTTTGACAAACATATTTCATATCAGGATGATATAATGCCATCAGCTTGAGCTATGCTTTCTAACAACGCATCATTTTGTTGCTTGCATAAATGCCGCTGCTTCCTGACCCATTCCCACTAGCTGCATGCAGTCCTCAAAGGGTTAAATTGCCGCTAATCCCTTCTGAGTACTTTCTCTTCTTTCATTAGAGGAACAGCGGAGTACTGCTGCCAATATTCTAAGACTTATACATGGTAAGGAATTGCTTGTGATCACAATAAATCAGATTTAGGTGAGAAATGTTAACCCTTTGAGTGCTGTGCTTCAGCGCTAACGCTAGCTTTATAAACTGTTTGCACTGCATGTTTGTTTTTAATGAGTTTAAATGTGTTTTGCAGATCCGCTGACCAGCCACATGGAGATGGTGACCGAGATCGTTGTTCCCACCGTGTGCACACTCTGTATTCTGCTCAGCGCCATCTTCCTTATGTTCCTGCTGAGAAGAAGAAACTAGAAAGTGTGTGTGTGTGTGTGTGTTTACAATCATAGTTTGTACAAACTCACATGGATGCAGTGGAATTGCAACATTTCTTTAATAGTATTTGTGAAAGGATGAATACATTTCTGAAGTGAATTTAAACCACTAATCTGATGACTTTACAGTGTTTTGTTGTTTTAGTTCAGCTGCAACATGCAAAATGACCTTTTCTGCTTTTATTTTGTTCTGACGTGGGGAACTGCTATGCAACCATGTAATCTACAGTCTAAATGAAACAGAGTTTAGCTTTCTAAATAAATAAAATGTGATAGATGAATTGGAAAAAAACTTCATCACCTACAAAACAGAAACTCTTCACTGAAAACACTTAAAAACACATCGATCCAGCTGGGGTCGCTCCAGGCTCGTTGGAATGATTTCAGTCCATCTGGATTGAACTGTTAATATTTCAAACAATGTTCAATACTATTAAGAATATTAAAAACAAACATCTACTTTGTTGTTCAGTTGTTTTGTGCTTTGTAAATTCATACAAAGCTGACGAGGCTGCAGCACACCACCGTGGAAAAAAAAGCCGGCTCCTCCATGTCCCCGTTGATCGCTTCACTTGGGTAATCTAAAACCGACAAGATTAAAGTCAGATGTGCTTCACTGGTTCAGTTACCACTAGTGTTCTTTTATTCGAATATTTAAAAAAACCACCTGTTTTAAAGGTGACGTGATCCACCAGTGGTCTGTTACTGAGCTGTAAGGACGTCCGAACCTCACGAGGACCTTGGCCGCTGGACACTTCAACCCCCCACATCATTGGGTGTTCGCTGTAGAAACGATGCATTAACACAAATGCAAGCTAAGAAGGACAACTGGCTCATTTCAGCAAAAGGTTAAAAAGACGCAAAAGTATTTAGTTTATGACTAAGATTAACCTTCAATGAAAAAATTGCTCTGCTTCATTCTTTTTCTCTACAAAAATAATGTCTACATTTTCCATTTACTTCTTAAAATAAGATTTTTATGTAAATTTTAATTCCAGCATAAACCTTTTCCACTTGTCCATTTGAAAACTTTCTGACTTTTTCCCATATGAGCTTCATAAACTACATTACTGTCAGGTATTTCCTTTTGTTTTCACATTTTACACATTTCATGTATTTAGATATACAAGTTTAACTAGTCATCTTTCACATCGATCAGTGTTTTAGAGAGATGTTGATCATTGCAGAGTTTACATTAATGAGATGACAGACAGACAGACAGACAGACAGACAGACAGACAGACAGACAGACAGACAGACAGACAGACAGACAGACAGACAGACAGACAGACAGACAGACAGACAGATAGATAGATAGATAGATAGATAGATAGATAGATAGATAGATAATATAAATTTCAAGTGAGTTGCAATTGGATGCAGGACATTTTTATTAATATTAATTCTGCAAATATGTGTTATAATAATAACTATTATTGCTCTACTTGCACTTGAACAAAAAGTTTTGTTACCTCTGATACAAATGGCTGATCAGAGCTGGTTTGATCTGGAGTTTGAACTCATGTTCCTCATCATATGCTGATGTCTTGTAGTGATCCAAACATGATCTGCAACACAAATAAAGGGATAATTGTTCAAAATTGTAGGCTAGAGGGTGCATTCTGCATGCTTATAAATCTTTGGAAAAAGAGACTGACTGTGTAAGGAGGAAGAGGCGGTCGTAAGGCAGAGTCAGGAACGTTCGGCAGCTTACAACGATCTCCAGCAGATGGTGCAGTTTTCTAAGCCGGATTACTTGTTCCTGCAGATCAGCCTCTGTGCTCAGGTAGTGGTTCTGCAGAGCAAAACAATTACACCAAAATGTACTTTTTTTTTGTATTTATGCTGAGACCGTGTTAAGAAAGGTGAAATACTGCAAGCTCACCAAGCGGTTTAAGGTCGTCAATTCTTCACCTGAGAAATAAACAAATGCAGGTCAGCACAAAGAGCAAGTGAACCGTGTGTAACTGATACACACAAATCGAGTAGATGAGAAAAAAGTTACCAATCAGGTAGTTGATGTAATCTTTTCTCATCTTATCCAGACCCATCTCCAGCAGCATGGTGATGGGGGTGGCACCTGAGAGAGACACATGATCGATCTGCTGGTGGTACGACTGAAGGATGAGCTTACTGAGAGAGCTGCTGCTGTCTCTGTGAATCTACAAGACGGCAAAAAAAAAAGAAAGAAAAACCTAAATTAAATCAGAAATCTTTAGTTTGAGATGAGTAGTTATTTTTTATATATTGGCCTCTTTTCATACCCAGGGTTTTATGTCCCCATATCGTAGAGCTTCGATCACTAACTTCAAACTGTCTCTGACGTCCTGGTATGATGTCACGCCTGCATTAACAAAAAGAAACCAAAATGGATGCAAAGGGATGATAGCAATGTGCCAAATAAGGCCTACTTTTCCAAAAGTAACACATAAAAAACGTACTTTTCCTTAATCTGATCCACAGCTGCTCCACAAAATCCAAATTGCCTCTTTCCACGAAAGAGTTGAAAATAGGAGGATCAGACTCAGACTTCAACTTTGTTGTCTTTAAAAACCAAACAACACAAACACAGTCAGTGAGTTCTGTTCATCTAGTGAAAGATATTAGTGTTAAAGCTCTTGTTTTAAGCATCGTACCTCTGGGGTTTTCGCAGCCTGATCCTGAATTGTTTGTACCATGTTCTGAAGTTCTAAAAGAATGAGACGGATGAACTACCTGCTAACTTTTTTGCAGTATTAAGTTGATTTTACTGTACAGTTACCTTGGATGTAGGCCTTAGTCAGATCAACAGCAGATGTGTTTTCCAAAGGCTCCATCCACTCAGTCTCACCAGTTTTTAAACCATCAGCAAGCGTCTGAAATTTCAACAATCTGATTAGTCTTTTAAAATTTCATTTCTTTAATGACAGTGAATCACAAACCTGAAGAAACTCTAGCTCCCTGTACATCTCAAACATCGGATTTCTCATGTCACCACTGGCGATTTTGATATTCTGCATATGGAAAAAAAGAAACATGGTAGGAATCAGATATAATTATTTTTAAAAACTGTTTATATAATAATCTAAAGTGTATGGTTGGTGCTCACCAGGGTAGCTGTAGAAGACAGAGGAGGAGCCTCGAGGATATGCTCCACATGGCTCCACTTGAAATCCACAGTCACACTGCTCTGAGACACAATGAATGTGTTTTCAACAACACTGGAGCCATACAAGTTGAACCTGGCGCTTCCTTTGATCCCCATCTAGATTATATTTACAGACACAAAGAATAAATGTCAATACATGCAGACTAGCTTAAGATAATACACACAGTCTTACTGATGTTGGATGATGTCTTTTCTTATGTTCCTGTTTCAGCTCTTCCAAGGTTATGAAAGCCTTTTTGTCAACAGTTGACTCTAAAAAATCATAAACACCAATAAAGAGAAATGCCCAAACTACACAACAAATGTTTAACATTCAGAGACGTGTACCTTTGCAGGTAACCGTGTACAATTTAACACCAGTTACTTTACTTCCCATGCAGACTGGCTCAGCCCCAAACCAAGCAGTTCCAGCAGGATCAGACATGTCGCATCGCACCCAGAGAGGATGTAAAACTAAACCGTTGTCCACGACTAAAACGCCAGCATTTTGAGATAATGTGTACCATGAAAGCAGCTGTCTAGAGGATGAGGAAAAACTGGTTATAATGATGACATCATCCCACTTGAAATCAATTTAAGACATCTTGTAATAGGTCACCTTGCTTTCGTGATTGTAAGTGGTTGGGGTCCTTGTTCTGGCTGGAGAACATCACCAGCAGCGTCATCATCACAGTTAGATGTATCCTCCACTTGCTCATCATCAGATTCCCTTACTTTTAGAACCTGGTGACATTTAAAGGTAACCTCTTTTGTTACCAAAATGCTTATAAAAAGAGCTGGTTCTGTTATAAAATGTAACTGTTTTAAAATTACTTACAGCCTTTTCGCAGACAAAAACTTTCTGGTTGTCACAGTACAAATTCACTGGAGCAACTTTGCTTCCATTCATCTTTATTATCTGGATGTCCTCCTAAAAGACAACATACGTATGTTTAATTATGACAACACAAACCGAAGACGTTTTAATAAAACGTGAGATTAATTTACCCCGTATATACACGAATCCATGTTTTCTTCCTCCAGAAGACACCTTGAAACAACACAGCAAAGGACGAAAATGGAGCAAAGAATCTTTCATTAGCTATAAACATATTAATGTGATGTTAACTAAATATATATTACAAAGGCTACACATAAATAAAACTCACCGTAGAACATTGAAAAACTCCTTGACACCAGAAATCACGTTGGAACCCATTCCGAGATTAGAGTCGGATCTCAGGTTTACAGACAAACGTATGACGACAAAATTATATAAGACAGGTAGAAAAGGCTGACCGTAAATGCTAACACAAGCTGTTGTTTATAGATTTTGATACTCGCGCGCTCATTCAGTGACGACATAGGGTCGCAGGTCATTTAAAACCATTTAATGCGCATTACCGCCCCCTTCTGGACTGGGAATTTCATTGGAAAAAGCGCTTCACGTTTTATTTTGTGTATTACGAACATTTTTGATTACTCGAATTGGCTGATAAGAATAAGAAAATAACATTTTTGTGCTAAAAACAAAAAGTAATGTTTAATAAAAACAAACATCGAACTTTAAAGAAAGAAAGTAGTTCGGTATTTCCGTTCTGCTAAAATATGTTGCGCCATGAAAGAAAATAGTTCCAGACCCGGCAAACAGTTTTTACTATTCTCTTAGTTTTCTGAGTTATTTTAGCGTAGTTTGTGTTTATGGTTACAGCTAATGTTAGACCGTTTTAGTTTGCATTGCTACAATATCACTATAAAATAATAATCGGATTATTATTAACGGAAGTGGTGCATTTTAAGGCGGAGGCATAAAGTATCGTGGGTGACTCACGAACTTCCTTTTTCACTGTGGCCGCCATAGCGTGAGGAGCGTGGTTCCCGGCGAGCCGAAAAAATACATCGAAAATGGTGAGAATTCTCACATGTTTTACTCATGAAGTGTTGTATAATACCTGAAATATCACGTTCATACTTGTACGGCATAGGCAATGTGGTACACCATTTGTAAATATAAGCTATTTTAAACCAGCTAACGCTACTGGCTAGCAGAGCTAACACGAGGAGCCATTTTAGACGAGTTGTCCAGCCTAGTTACACGTGTACTGGTGTCTTGAGAGGTAGTTCACCAAGCTGATGTATTTGTTATTGTTGGCCAGGAATTTGAGATGACCGATCTACTCTATACGTTTTAGAATATTTGCTCGTCTTATAATATTCTGATGCATGTTAATGCTAAAAGCTAACGATGCCCCGGTAGTAGCACGAACCTGCCAAGGTAAGCCAGTCATTCATAAAACCGAAGCTTTATTAATCAGACCGGCTTGGATTCTATCATCGCCCATAATGCATGGTCAATGAATAAAAGCATTAATCATTTTAGATACACTGGTTTCGCAACAGATCTTTCTTTAAATGTTAATTTTACATCTTCAGGCCTGTGCCCGACCTCTCATCTCGGTGTACTCCGAGAAAGGAGAGTCCTTGAGCAAAAATGTCGTCATGCCTGCAGTGTTCAGGGCCCCCATTCGCCCTGATGTGGTGAATTTTGTTCACACCAACATGCGCAAGAACAGTCGCCAGCCTTATGCTGTCAGCGAACTGGCAGGTAAGACCGTTTGCCAGATCGAGAAGGTTTAAGCAGTCCCGTTGCATTCATCATTCTAATTGTAGTGTGTTCTTGTTTGTGTTTATTTCAGGACATCAGACCAGTGCAGAGTCATGGGGAACAGGAAGAGCTGTTGCCCGTATACCTCGTGTTCGAGGTGGTGGCACTCATCGTTCTGGCCAGGGTGCTTTTGGAAATGTATCTTTTGCTTTGCACCAATATAACAAACATTTAGACTTGCAGTGATGGTGTAATTTGCGTCTGACTCTGTGTTCAGTGACAGATTGCCTACTGTCATATGCTGGCACAGCTGGTTGATGAACATTGAATCTGAGCAGGTAAAAGATAATCAACTATTCCTTACTTGAGTGTCAGATCTCCTTGACCTCCATTTAGATGTGTCGTGGTGGTCGCATGTTTGCCCCCACTAAAACCTGGCGCCGCTGGCACCGCAGGATTAACACGCCCCAGAAGCGCTATGCCATCTGCTCTGCCCTGGCTGCATCTGCCATTCCTGCACTTGTGATGTCTAAGGGTAAGCTAAAAAAAATGATGCACAATTTGCAGAATATCTGACACGGTAGAAATATTAACCACAACGCTCTTGTGTCCTTGCTATGATGGTGTAATTTGCGTCTGATCCTGTGAACAGTGACAGTTGCCTTCTGTCATTAAGCTGTCGCAGAGTTTTGATGTGTGTTTTATTCTGAGCAGACTGAAGTGATAAATCCCTTCAACAGCTTTTGTGGAGAAATCTGAATCACATAAATCTGTTGTTTTAAAGGACATCGTATTGAGGAGATCCCTGAGGTCCCACTGGTGGTCGAGGACAAAGTTGAGGGCTACAAGAAGACAAAGGAGGCCGTGCTGCTCCTCAAGAAGCTTAAAGCCTGGAATGACATCAAGAAGGTAATTAAAGTTTAGCGTGCGGTTGAGTTGTTCAGTGTTGCTACTTTAAAGCAGATTTTATTAAACGTGGCAGTGAATCATGTTGGGCTCCTTGTATAATTTTCTGTGCAGCTCATGATCTAAATGAATTGTGTTGTCAGGTCTACGCCTCTCAGCGCATGCGTGCCGGTAAGGGTAAAATGAGGAACCGCAGACGAATCCAACGCAAAGGGCCATGCATCGTCTATAACCAAGACGCTGGTTTAACCAAAGCCTTCAGAAATATTCCAGGTGAGTTGCATCGCAGTATTATATGCAAACTGATGCTGCACCATTGTCCTCATGTAGTTCTTATCTTACAAGTGCTGTGTTGTGTTGCGCAGGCATCACCCTGCAGAACGTGAACAAACTGAACCTCCTGCGACTTGCTCCTGGCGGTCACGTCGGACGGTTCTGCATCTGGACTGAAAGTGCTTTCCGTAAGCTGGATGAGCTGTACGGCACCTGGCGTAAACCCTCCTCCCTGAAGGTCGACTACAGGTGAATATTAAACAAACGTCTAAAGTGCTGCACATACTTAATGTTCTAGCAAGCCACAGTGATGAGCTTCCACTTCATGGTCCGTGTTTTTGAATTTTGTGATATTTACTGAAGTTCTGAGTTGATGCAGAATAAACTAGATCAAGTCTATTTTATTTATGAATTGTTATTAATTAATGCTTTAATTTCAGACTTCCCATGCACAAGATGACAAACACAGATTTGAGCAGGATTTTGAAGAGTGAGGAGATCCAGAAAGCTCTTCGTGCACCCAAGTATGTACTTTTCTTGGTCCTCCCTGAACTTTATGGGCTATGATGATGTTCCACTTCAGGTCCGTGTTTCTGAAACCTGATTATTATGGAAGTCCTGAGCAACGCAGAGCAATATCTCAGCTAAAACGGTTAAGCAGTTCTTTACATCGAATTTTCTTTCTCTTGTCATTACAGCAAGAAGATCAACCGCAGAGTTCTTAAGAAGAATCCTCTTAAGAATCTGAAGATCATGCTCAAACTGAATCCCTACGCTAAGACGGCAAGACGTCATGCCATCCTGCAGCATGATCCTGCTGTAAGTTCATAGTTTGAAACCATCTCAGCATCTAAAATCAGGAGACTGGTGGTTGACGGTGCCTTTTCTTGTGTCTGTAGATCAAGGCTAAAATGCTGAAGCCCAAGAAGAGGCCTGCAAAGAAGGCAGAACCTGCAAAGAAGGCAGAACCTGCAAAGCCTAAAGCATAAATCTAAAGAGACTGGAGTTCAATGAATAAATCAGTTGTTCAAACATGAGTCTGGAGTTTTTGTTTTATTCACAAGAATAATTTCACATAAAGCGAATATCAAACAAGTTGCGTGCTCTAGAAGGGGGTGAAGGGAAAATAAAGCACAGGTTTAGCAGCATTTCTATTGATTCATTAGAAAAACATGGCTTTTCAAGCAGGCCTGCAACGTAGCCTCAAAATATTTAATTCTTTAACTTGGCATTTGAGTTTGTACACTTGACATAAAACTAGTTATTGGGGGAACACTTAAACCAGCAGTACAAAACATTCAAAATAAACATGGCTTTGCACTCGGTTGAGCAGGTCTCACATTGTGGTTCCGTGGGTAGGTGTTGCTGGTTGGCTGAGTCCAATGGTGCTGCACAGCCAGCCTGCAAAGTCCACCTCCTCAGCCTCTGAATTTTTGATAAAAGGATGGACCTAAAATGACAACAGTTGGTTAAATGTGACTTTCTGATCAGACAAAAGCAGTAGGATGAACACATACCATCAGCTGCTTCAAATCTGCCCTCTCTGCTGGGTTTTTGATCAAGCTGTAAGAGAAACGGACTCAGCATGCGTGGGTTTAAAAACAAAATCCATGTGGTCAAACTGCCTCACCATTTATTAACAAAGTCTTGGAATTCGGTGCTAAATATCCCAGGCAGCTTGGGCGGAGGCTGGAAGTAAAAAGTACAAATGAGTTACAATGAATGCAAATCAATGCCCACCTGTGAACTTACCTCATTGACGATGTAATCAAGTAGCTCAAATATGGCCATTGGGGGTCTACTGTTAGAACCAAAGGCTGGGAGAGTAATAGAAAGATAAATTATTGTGAGTAGTAGAAACAATCCTGCAGCAACATCTCTGACTTACAGCTGCCTGGCCGCCCAGGTGGTCTTGGTTTGGGGGAGGACTCGCTGGCGGCTGCCTCCCCTTCCACCAGATATCCAAAAATCTGTTCCAGCTCTTTAGAATCAGGCGGAGGGATTGGAAAGCGTCCAATAGCCATCTCGACGAGAGACAGACCCATGCTCCAGATGTCTGACTGAACAGAGTAGTGAGTGCCTTGCAGACGCTCTGGCTGCAAAACACCAAATGAGATCAGTTATTGCAACAATTCTTGGCTTCTGCATCAACTTGATGCAAAGGTAGATCCAAATTCAGAGTTGTTTTCCCCCTCAGTCCATCAGCGCAAAACTTGTTAGGAGTCACAACCTTTAGATCAGCGGTTCCCAACTTGGACTCTGTGAACCCCCGAAAGGGTTCCACAATTTTGTCTGTCTTATCATTTCTAGCTAAGTAATTAAGAGCCATTGCTGCAGGTTGCAGACCCATGCTTTAGATAGATCTAGCAGCAATTTAAAACCCTTTATCATTTGTACCTGAGTGACTCACCGACATGTAAGAGCGAGTGCCCACAAAGGAGTTGGCCATGGAGTCTATGAGCTGCCCGCTCACTCCGAAGTCACACAGCTTGATCTCACCGCGGGAATTCACCAGGATGTTGGAGGGCTTGACATCTGCAAAAGGATCATGCAGAGTTTAAGGAAAACAGAAAGTGAGGAGAAAGTGGTCAGCAGAGGGCAATAGAGAGCAGAATTAATCAAATTTATCTCTGCCTTCAAAGAGTATTCATAAATAATAACAAAATACTTGTTTTGAAAACATGGTGGTAAACTAAACAGTGACCAACCTCTGTGCATGATCTTGTGCTTCTCCCGCAGGTAAGAAAGCCCCTTAATGACCTTTAATGTAAAAACACAGCAAACAGGACTGATTGTTCAGTTCCGCAAAACAAAATCACTCACAAGTTTGTACTGATCAGTTAGAACTTTTATTTATTAACTTTAAAATAAATCCAGAGGTGGGAAAGGCGTTGGAAGTACTCACAGCTATGCTGACTTTGCCAAGGATCTGTTCTGGGATCTTGCCTGCTTTCTTCAGAGACTGGTCCAGAGAGCCCCCATCCTACAGCCAGCAGGAAAGGAAAACATAGAGAAGTGAATTTATACCAATGTGCTGGGACGTAATTTTGGGGGGGGACGGGTGGGACATGTCCCCCCCACTTTTTCAAAAGGCAGTTTCGGTCCCCTTCACTTTTTTCCGTCAAAAAACAATATTACGCTCCATTAAATGGATTTGGTTGAGCACTAGGACCGAAACGGAAACCGGTTTCCTATTAGACCCACCCAAAAGCTAATCTATTGGCTCTGCTGATACTTGCTAACGTATTATTGGCTGTTGCTGCTGTCACTCAAGTTGGAAACAGTCAGAACGTGCTCACGTTGTTTTGCTAGTTTGGAGCCGCTAGGGAACACCGGTACTGAGTCACATCGTCAACTAGACGCTGTGTAATATCAGAGCTCAGCTCAGCTTCCATTACATAACATTTGAATAAGTGTTCATTTGTGAGTCTTTGGTAGTTATGCACAGCCAGGAGGCAGCATGTCAAGAAAACGAAAAGTGGATATAAGAGACTTCTTTCAAAGTCTAGACGTAAGTTGGAACATGTGACACCCCTGCATTAAGCTCAGACTCACCTCCTCCTTCACAAACATACTCAAAACTAACTTTTACAAACTCATCTCCTCCACATAACTGACTCCTCAGACACAATTTATTCGTATTATTATTATTATTATTATTATTATTATCATAATTATTATTATCATAATTATTATTACTAGTAGTAGTAGTAGTAGAAGTGTAACTTCAAAACTTTTATCATTTAACTTTATTGTAAACTTATCTATTGCAATGTATATTTTCACATTAAAAAGCTCTGAAAAATGAACAGTATTATCATCGTCAACAGATTTTTTTAAGCTTAATGTCAAAGATGTACACTTTTCATTAGATTTATCTTATTTTTTCCATTTATTTTTTGTGTGTTGAAATGCAACAACTGTTTAAACACGTTTAAGGGAAAAAACATATTTAATATGTTTTTATACACTCAAATTGGTAATGAATAATTTACACATTATATTAATAATAATTGTGAATCATACTAGAACCATCCTGTAAATATTTCTGTTTGTTCCATTCCAAAATCTCCCACTGTTTATAGTTCATGCATCTTTTTTTCAGGTGACTGACAGAGATGCAGGAGGAGAGACCGGTGAAGGTACAGCAGGAGAGGCTGGAGGAGATGGAGGACGAGAGCCTGGAGGAGATGGAGCAGAGGCTGGAGGCTCACAGGTGAGGTTGAAATAATGAAGATACGATAGACATAAAATTGATCATTGTGACAAATGTTAGGGTGATGATCATGTGTAAAACATTAGTTCAGCATGTCCTCTAACACAGCAAATGAACAAACGGCCAGATCTCAGGAGGGACCGTTTATGTATAAATACTTTTTATACTTTTGACTAGGCCTGGGAAAGTAACAAATTTTGCTGGATGATATTTTGTCCAAAAAAATTGTTGATGATAAACGATATCATTGTCAACATTATCTAGACCAAAATAACCACTAATATAATGTTAATATATCATAATAATGCAAGTACACCCTTTAAAATGCAACAAATAAACCTTCATTTAACATTGAAATGTCCAGAACCAGAACTTCTAAATGAATAAAAATAACAAACAAAAATTAAATAAAAAAAAGAATCTCACTCCCTGTTAGAAAATGTTGCACCAAAAACAATAAAAAAAGACCCAAAACAATAAATACAATGGCCTATCCATTGTCAACAGCCAAAACTGCACTTCAATAATGATAATAAATATTAATGATAATAGAGTTGTACATTTTTTAACTTTGATATATATATATATATATATATATATATATATATATATATATATATATATTGAGGATGGAAAAATTATTGAGATGGGCATGTGACGTGTCAAAGGGTCTTTACATAACACCCCCACCCCAAATCCGCACAAGCCGGGTGTGTCCCCCCCACTTCTGAAATCAAAATTTCGTCCCTGCCAATGTGGCTGGACATGAATGTAAAAAACAACAATATTGACTTAAATACTCAGAAGTGCCTAGTGAAACATAAAGAGGTATATACCATGTTCTCCATGCAGATGCTGATTTCTCCATCGCTGTAAAAAGCACCATAGAAGCCCACTATGTATGGAGAGTTACACTCATGTAGAACCTGCAGCTCCCGAATGATCTGGTTCCTGATGGCTGGTTTAATCTCCAGATGGATCAGCTGGAACACATCAGACCTCCATGCGTTATTCATACACACTAAAATCCTTTGAGCATTGTGTTGCATTGGTTCAAATGTTTAAGCCAAGTGTGGGTAAGTGTATCACAACTAGCACATTTAGTTTGCATATTTACTCTTAAAAAAGGAGCACTTTGATTCCAATCTTACAAACGTAACATGTTTGGGTTTTCATCTGACCAACTCTGGTAACCTATCCTTTCATGTAGCGATGCATTTGTACTATGGATGTTCGGTATTGGCTTTTTTATTGATAACCGATATAGCCTGACTCTTAATTTCTGATACGATTTAAACCAATACCAATATATGCTGCAGCCTCCCTCATAAAAAATAAAGAGAAACTAAATCATTTTAGGTAACTAACGTCCCATCGCCAATCAGCCAGACTTAAAATGCAAACATCTGTGCAAAATTCGACAACTACTTCAATCTGAATTAGACAATTAGCTCCCTTGAGAGAGTTTGGGTTAGAGAAGAGTTTGAGGTACGATAAGTGCATGATAAATGTGTCATTAATGAGTAAAAATCAATATCAATAAAGTTACATTTTAAAGCTTCTTTCCAGAGTATTTCTCTCGGGGCGATGGTGGCACAGGAGTTAAGTGCTCGCCCCGTAATCGGAAGGTTGCAGGTTCAAGCCCCGCTCAGTCTGTCGCTGTCGTTGTGTCCTTGGGCAAGACAGTTAACCCAGCTTGCCTGCTGGTGGTGGTCGGAGGGACCGGTGGCACCAGTGTTCGGCAGCCTCGCCTCTGTCAGTGTGCCCCAGGGCAGCTGTGGTTACATCATAGCTCATCACCACCAGTGTGTGAAGGTGTGTGTGAATGGGTGAATGACTGATTGTGTTATAAAGTGCCTTGGGGGGTTCCAAGACTCTAGAAGGCGCTATATCAAATACAGGCCATTTACCATTTATCCGATGGCGCCATCTAATGGCTAAAAAGCGTATCACACAAAACCGCTGTTCCTCTGTTTTTTAAGATGGCGACTTCACGTTTCTGTTTATAAATGTGCATCAAGGCCGACAGAGATAAAACACGTTGTTTTATGAGTATTTTTCTCATGACATGTTGTTTTTTCATATATTTATATTTTAGAGACTTTCTTGTCCGTGAAAAGTTCATCAACTCTGCATCAGCCGAGGTATTCCTTAAATGTGAAGCATAAATGCGGTAGTCTAACGCTATTGGTTAGTTCTGGTCGGCGCTCAGTTTCATGCTCAGGGGGCGTGCTTAGCAAAAAAAAAAAAAGACGTATTGCTTATATTATATCACAGTACATGATAAGATAATCACTTTTATGGATTTCCGACAAATCATACATCATTTCTGAAAGAGGAAAACTCTGGAAAGCAGCTTTATTGTTATTAATGCCAACATCGGACAATATTAATGGTATGCCGATAGTATTGAATATCGCTGATTTATACAAATACCCATTCACTGATCACTCGTTGAGCAGAACCATGGAAATGATTAAAAATACAACATCTAAGTTCTTGATGGTAACCATCATGTTTCACCCTCACAGCTTACCTTCCTCGCCATGATCAGCCCCGAGGGTCGGTGTGAGACCTTAAACACGACGCCTCCGTTGCCTGCACCCAGCTCACAGATCTTCTCAAAGTCATCGTCCTTCAGCTCCCCCACCTTCTGCTTCTGTGTCAGAAAGGCCTCCAAGCGTTTTCTTTGCTGCTCATCCAACTCCAGCTCCTCCAACTTCTTCTGCAGCGCTTCCAGGTTTGTTCTTGCACCGAATAAGGTAAAAGAGAGAGACAGGCAGGTAGTTTAGCAATTTTGTATAATTTCTCCATTGCTGCTGCCTTCAGTGAAGGATGTGGACAAATCAGACAGAAGCAGCCTTCCACAATCAACAAAAACTATTTCTGGAATATCAAACAAATTCAACACAAATCAAACTTTCCTTTTTATAACTGATTTTAACCGCTTGAGCTAGTTTTTACTTCTCCGTCTACGTCGGCTGCAAGACCCGCAACACCATTAACTGTCGTCCCAAGGGCTCTCCAACAGGCATGCAAGGACGAACGAAGTAGAACCCACTTTTCTCACTATCTGTCAAAAGCATCTGAGGCCGCAAGTCTGTGATTTGTCAGGATGCTTCCTTTAACTTTGTGAACAGCACTGCTGTTCCACCTCAAAAAAAGTCGATCTACGTTCTTACTCTCACCTATGGGCACGACTGAAAGAATGAGATCATGGATACAAGAGGCCAAAATGAGTTTTCTCCGCAGGGTGGCTGGGCTCTATAGGGTGAGAAGCTCAGTCATCCAGGAGGGGCTCGGAGTAGACCTGCTTCTCCTCCACATTGACAGGAGCCAGTTGAGGTGGCTCGGGCATCTAGTTAGGATGCCTCCCTGATGAGGTTTTCTGGGCACATCCAACCGAGAGGAGACCTAACGGAAGACCCAGGACACACTGGAGGGACTATGTCTCTCGGCTGGCCACGGAACGCTTCCCCCGGAAGAGCTGGCCCAAGTGGCTGGGGAGAGGGAAGTCTGGGCCTCTCGACTTAGGCCGCTGCCCCCCATGACCGGCTCTGGATAAGCAGATGACAGTGGATGGATGGATCCAGGTTCAGTGCAATGAATGCATACCACAATACAAAAGTAGCAGGTATAGGTAATAGCTTTTGTTTGAATATCTTCAGGAGAATTGATGCATTGTTTCAATGAGATGCAAGGCCACCATCAAATTTGTTCGCTCTTTTTGAATGAAATCAAGTCAAAATGCAGGTAATCACAAAACACCTCATTGGAGCAATCCAAAGCTGTTGTATAGAATATTTTACCATGGTCACCAAGATGCTGATAACAGGCACTACTGCATGCTCATCCGGGAACAAAACAAGTAACCTTGACAGAAACACAAAAGGCCACCTGCTGTGATTTAATGTTCTCTTTCAGATCTCACAATCAGGGAGCTTCAAGTTCCTCTCAAGTACTGCCTCACCACTGTGCCTCACTACTGTTGTCATGGAAATGTATTTCATTAGGAAGTTAATAATGGTGTAGCATCTGCTGTCCTGCTTTTCCAACATCTACAACAGAATCACTTGAAAACACTAAAGCCAGCCTAAGTTTCTACCAGTTTAATCCTCTAAAGACAATAAAAAAGCAAAAATAAGTCAAATGTTCCCATTTGTACCTGCTAAAACCACAATTTCCACAGGGGGGATTTCTATTTAGTCACATTTGCATTACAGAAGCCTTAAATGGTGAAATGATGATTTTTCATCAGGTTTTTTTTTTTGCATTAAATTATGAGTAGCTGCAGAGCAGCTGGAGCAGAGAATTGCACACTTTACTTCACTCAGCAAAAATAGGGTTAAGTGCTTTTTATTGTTGACAGCAAGCCTGCATATCCATGGAAACAGAGCACTGAGTTTCCGCTGGATGTGGGTGGCGTGGGCATTTCATCGATAAGAGGAGGTGAAGGAGGGGTTGCAGAAGGCACAGAGGAGAGGAGCAACCTGAAACAGACTCCACAAAAACATGTAGGATGGGCTGTGATAGGAGGGTCTGTGTGGTCCTTCCTCTTCAGGTGCAAGAAAAAGTGTACACGATGCTGACCTTTTGTTCTACGTCTGTAAAAATATCCAAGGACATCCAGCAGAAGAGGTAGGAGGAAATGGTATTTAGTGTTGATACAACCATTTGTATCCATATGGAATACAACAGACTTTAAATAACCAGCAGAAAACATATTTTTTCAAATGATGTATTGAATACATAACAAAGCAATTAATTATATACCTAAAAATGTTATCATTACAGGTATAAGATTGCAATTGGTGCATCTTTTCTTACATTATAAACTTGGGAATTCCTGTTGGTTAAGGATGTTTGATTATATTGATCTACTAATAATATCAGCATTAAAATTTAATATTGTTAAATATTGGATCAGTTTTGAGTTGTTTAATGACAACTTTACATACCATACACATATACATCAAACTCTTCAGCTACTTCCCCCCTTTCTCCAAATGTCAAATAACAGATCTGAGGTAAAGCTTTTGAGATAATTGAGTTTATTTTGCACAAATTGTGAAGTAACAATTTATCCCATGTAGTGAACGTACGCCGTCTTCACAGCACGTAGCTAACTAGACAGCTAGCAGACGACTAAAACAAAACCAAGAACCTTCACCCATGGCTTGCTTTTATTATCTGAAGATCTTTAAAAAGGTTTTATTTCCATAACCGCAACATACTGAAAAATAAAAAATAAACACAATACCAGTGTTTCCTCTAGAAAAGTTTCCAGTCATGGCGGGCCATGGGGGGTGTACACTCACGGACCGTTTTGGTGCCATGTGTCGCCGTGCAGGGCAAGGGGGTAATAGTGCATGGAATGTTTTGGTGGTGTGTGTCTAGCCGTGGCTCTAGAATTTCAGGCGTGGCGCAGCTGCTGTTGGAGATAAAACAAATATGGTATTTTTCCTGTTACTAATTTAAAGTGCAAGTCACTCCCTACCAGAAGGCGGCGTTGCCTGGCAGACCGATTGGGCGGAGCCGCTAACAAATACACACACAGGCTCACAGCGGCTTTGTGACATCATATGGTACCAGCTAATGTCATAGGGTACCTCTTAGCCAATAGCAATGGCAGATTTAAATTTTAATTCAAATTCAAAAGAAGGCACAGCACTGACAGTTTTAGGCAGATTTATTTATTTATTTATTTTAACTAAGATGCAATAAAGTGCCAAATTATAGACTACACATGTCTACAGCACTATTAGACACACATTTATATAGTTTATCAGCCAAAAAGTTGATTTGGGGGCTCTTTAAATTTAAGTTATTGTCATTTTACACAAAAAATGTTTGAAATTTATGCATGCATGCGATATTACTAACCTAAAATGTTTTAATTAATCTTTTTTTTATAATGAGGGACACACAACATATATCGGTATTAGTTTATGTCTGTATCTGAAATTAAGAGTCAGACAGTATCATCACATATCGGTAATAAAGCCAATATGGAACATCCCTAACTTTATGCTAACTTTCCATTCTTGGCTGGTATTTTGTGGTCCAATTTGAACGATTCCAGTCACCTCACAAAGCAAGAGTGTTTGGCTGTGATTTATTTTCACCAAATAGTGAAATGGTCTCCTTTCACTAAAAGGTCATTTGATTGGATGAAGCTTTTTCACAGTCATTATAAAAGACACTTGCCTAATAGTGACAGCATTCATTAAGACAAATATTCCAATGAGGAGCTCGTCCAAGTGGCTGGGGAGAGGGAAGTCTGGGCCTCCCTGCTTACTGCGTCCGTAACCCGACCCCGGATGGATGGATGGCTGGATGGATGGATGGATGGAACAAGCTGTCTGTCTTTTTTTTTTTGTCAGTTGATTTTTATCATAAACTAAACAAGTTCAGATATAATAAAACATGCATTATGCAGTACATTTTCTCTTTTATTATATATATATATATATATATATATATATTTTTTTTTTACCATGTCCTGTCTGGCTGTGAAGCAAACAGAATTGATGTCTGAATGCTGGTAACAAGCCTTACAGATTTACTCTCGGGTGGAGCATAAAAGCTTCTGCTTTTAATGTCACGCCTGATACTTAAAACTTTATTGTTGTTGTTTTTGAATGCTTTGTAATTCCGACCAGACACGGAGTCAGAGGTGAAAGAGAAAGGAAAAGACAAAAGGTGGGGAGAGAGAGAGAGAGAGGGGGGGGGGGGGGGGGGTTCTACAAAAATAAACAACAATGAACAAGAGTTTGCTTCTAAACCTGTAGAAAGAGAAAGAACAGAAAAAAATGAGACACACAACAATACATCAGGAGCAAGCTATCACTGCGTCAACCTGATGATGAAATATAAAATCAACATTGTTTAACTGGACAATCACACTATAATAAATCATAGTGCATTTAGTGGCAATGACAGCCTTAAGACATGTGTTGAACGTGTCCAAGCCCATACTTTTGAGAGCACCATGTGAGCACCTGTGTTTGTACACGCGCTTGTTTATGTAAGGTTTCTCTACAGGAGCGTCCAATAGGGAGTGTGAGGGACCACAGATCTGCCCCAAAGATGTGTAGGAGACGGGGGGAGCTCCAAGTCCCAGAGATCCAGGCGCTGCCCCAGAACACAGGAACCCCAAGGAGACCGCAACCAGAAAGGCCCCCGCCCCCCTCGAGAGGCACAGAGGATCGCTCCGGGGGCCACAACCAGCAGCCGGCAGAGTCCCGGGAGATATCAGCGGCAAGCCCACAGGCCCGCGCGCAGCCTCCCACCCCCTAGCCGGCCGAGCCCGGGACCCAGCGACCCGGGACCTAGGGGAGACCACCCCCGCCGGGGACCCAGCAGAGCCCAGGGACCCAGACCCCACCAGGCAACCACCGGGATTGATCAGGCAGACGCCAAAAATCTTAAACCCCCTGACCCGGGAGCCACGAACACTCAGGCAGATCAAGGCACCACACCCCACACCAGGTGTGGGAGGGGGAGGGGATACGAAGATCTATATAATCAAAAGAAGTCCCATGAGAAGAGAGGAGTCAAAGGCCCCACATGACATATACAGTCATACACAAACACAGTCACACACTCCCTCCCTCATGCTCACACATGCACATACAACCCAAGATTTACAAAAATGCACGCCGGACACCCACTCATGCTCCCCATACACACCCTATTCACTCTGGTCCCGGTACTGCTGCACATTGGGTTCAACTATCACCGGTTA